CGTTTTACCTTACTGGAGAATCATACGCTGGTATTTACATTCCGATGCTTTCTCAGCGAGTTGTGGAGGGGATCTCAAGAGGAGATTTTCCTAACAATAAATTTCAGGTTAGGAAATGAACTTATGTTTTCCGCTTGCATAAGATGCTTGTTTAGGGAGCTGCAATAGGAAATGGTTTCATGAATGTACCATATCTGATGAATTCTCTTGTGCTCTGGAGCGCGTATCACGGTCGAGTGTCGCTTGAGTAGGTTTCCCGCACAAAGCTGCTTTTGTTGGTTTTTCTTGTACAGATTCTGACCTAAGTGTCATAAATTTTTGAAAGTTCACTTCTGATAGGGAAAAATAACAATAACTCAGGGAGCAACGGTTGCATTTTATTGCTCATGCTTCAGTTGCAATTATTTCTTAGAACTCTCATGTTGCGAACACAACTGCTGATGTAAGATGAAGGGATCAATTTCAGCGATTGGGATAACATCAAGGTCGCTTGCAAAAAAGGCAGTGAAACAGATGTTGAGAAATACGATTTTACCCAGTTCATGACGAGTAAAAATGGAATGGACTATTATGGAGATAGCTCGGAATGCGGAAAGCTTATTGCTCCTCTGATCAGTAATGATGGGTACGGATCAACACAAGTGGTTCGAATGCTGCCAATGCTACCTTTCAGATTCTTCGGCTACTTCTACGACCAATACAACTACTACCAAGACTGTTATCAAGGTACCTACAACATTCCGTCAAATCAGCAAAAGCGGAGATCTCTCCAAAATCGTAGAAAACCTGCTCAGTTCTCATACGTTTTCAATGGTACATCTAATATGGACAATAATGCTGCGGTACGATAACAATCATTCACACTTACTTGAGAGGAGAGGATAACTTCTTAGATTTTAGGCTCTCACAAATCGCATTTCAACAGACAATCAGTGGGGTTATCCATGCTGGACCGACCAAGCTTTATACTCTTACTTGAACAGTAAAAATGTGCAGGTAATATATGACTTAAATGATTTTCATCTCCTAAATCTAACATTTTGCGTGTGTAAACTGTGAGGTATCTGTTGTGGTGATAACGAGATGATAAATCAGCAGTTATTCAGGACGCTCTTCGAATTCCGCAAGCGTGGAGAGCCCAGAAAGGAGGAAAAATCAAATGGGAAGGATGCAAGTGAGTTGTGGGCCAAATTCAGCCCAGTTTGTGATTTATGCATTTGAAGTCTCAGAAAATCATATGATTATGTGAATCAGATTAACATATGATGTCAAATTTGGACATGATGGACATAATCTAGACCCACTTCAGTGCTCATCGTTATTGGGTTTCGAAGCAGCTTAGAAATATAATAAGACATCACTCGCATACAATATTTTGAACACCTCCTAAAAATTGTCTCTTCGATAAATTGATTTTCTTAGTTTTACTTTTGAAGGGCGTAAAAGATGAGATTTGAGGGTTAAGCTAAAATGCGACCTTAAATGTTAGCAGCGCATTTGAAAGTCAATCTAATTGACCAGAATATGATGGCATTCGCAACGATGCAGTAAAGCGCCTGTGATTAAACCAAGACCTCATCGGTTATACAGCGCTCATAAATTCTGCAAAAAAAAACGTGGTTACTTGAGGAACTGTTGCGTTGGGATAGTCCGTGGCAAAGCATCACATCGTCATAACTTTTTTCTTAGATTTTTCTTGAAAGGAAAAGCAGCATTAGACTCAACTCGTCGAGAGGAATCTTCTAGTATGTCATACTGCAGTAACAGGTCTGAGATATGCGATAGGCATACGGTAGACGTCAACAAGGCGAATCGGTCTAAAACTTCTCCTAGGAGGGGTATCTGGTACGCTGACTGTAAAAAAATAATCTATTTCCTACAGTAGCGAATTACTGTAAAGACACGGTAGGCATACATCAAGAGGTCTACGTCTGAAACTTTGCCGAGAGAGATTATTTCGTAAGCAGATCATGAAAAGCTATCCACTTGTCACAATCACGCCTTATCG